GGAAATTTCTTCCTCTGCCCCCCCCCCCCTCACCAAGCTCCATAAGCATAACAAGCAAAGCAATAAAAAAATATGTAATTTTCCGTCACTCAGAGCTATTTGTAATAGAAAAATCGTCCTAGTCTACTATTTAACTTATGTTCAACGAAACGAGGAAAAATATCATCCTTGTGCAAAATCCTGCACCGCCAGCGTATTAAAACACTGTACCCTCTACCAGGGCCGCAGTTATTATTGTGGACATTTTGGCTGAAACATCAGACATCAGACCAAAATGACTGTCTATTTATCTAGAGGCATATCTGTTGAAAATCAATCTGTCGCCCTTACCTGGTAGAGGGTATTTACATTGTACCACTGCAGTCTTGGAGCTGTTCTACGAGTATACATATATTGCCCACGATAGTCTTAGACCCCATTCCCAGAGATTAGATCGATCCAAACAAGATCGACCTAACTCCCTGGGGGTTCACGCTAAATAGCTGTCAGCCGAGCGGGCACGAAAGTTAATTACCCTCTTACAGCTTGTAGTAGGCGGGACGGACATTTAAGCCGGATTATCTGACAGTAATCTAGTGAGACTCCCCACGGGGATAGATCGATCTAAAATCTATGGGAATGCGCCCTTAGATGAATATAAATAATATTAATAATCATAATAATAATAACATAAAATGAAAATATATAATAACAAAATAAATAAACAGTTGATACTCTTGTTTCAATCTGTGCTAAACTGCAACAACAGCAGGCTAAGGTAAGTTTTAATAAATGTCCCACATGAACGATGTATCACACAATTTTCGGTGGCAACTTTCAAACTACTACAACATATGTCTCAAACCTATTTGTAATATTTGAATATTTTATGCACTGTGAAACATAAAGTGGTAAGACAGCCTGCAGACATCACTCTTGTTCGCCGATACAATGTATTTTGTAATTCAGCCACATGTTCGTTCAACTCATTTCTCTCTCGTTCCAGGTTAGCTAAAATTTCTTCCATTTGTCTCTCTTTTTGCTTCGAGGCATTTAAGATTACGGCAATACGCCTTGCATCCTCATTTTGTAGATCTATAATATCGCAGCGAGCGTGATCGTTGTCAAGCCCACAAATAAGTTCTTCATGATCGGCACAAACAGAAATAATTTGGTGTCCATGATGTCGAGGACACATTTCCCCTTCAGCAACGGTCACAATGTCTTGGACTTCGTGTTGTTCATTTCTTCTGTCCTGCAAGTGCTTGTTCTTGTGCTTATCGCAAAAGGATACAACGGGACTGCAGGTGTGGCACTGCGACGTTGCTGTTACCTTTTTGCCTTTTTCATGACACAGGAAGCAGGTAGGAACCCGGTCTGGCAGCTCGGCCATTTCGTTGAAGAGTGGCAACAGTGAAAGGTGGAGAGATAGATAGATACCGCACAGGTTTACCTTATCACTATCTGGATGAAAAAAAAATTGAAAAGTATGTCTATGTCTTTTTCGTTATAGGCCAACATAAATGAATCACAGTAAAAAGGCAAATTAACTTTAAAAACGTCAACTCTCAGAATTCAGGGCCTGGTTGCACCAACGGGGCGTATATTTGTACGCTCGTGTCTTTCAATGAACGTCGACTGTGTAACGTGTACAACAATTTTCAAATTTTTCAAATTTTTGCTCAATTTAGTTTCCTCCGAATGGCAAGAGAAAGAAGCTTACACAGTAGAAAAAAGGGAGGAGGAAGAAGAAAGAAGAGGAGAATAGGAAGCAAAACTGACGTACGCCGTCAGTACGTCACCACAAACGTGTGAGGCAAGTGTGAAGCAAAACTGACGCAAAGGGGCACTACTTTCGCCGTGCGTTGCATTCCCTTCGTAAGTGGTGAGTGTGTGCCACGTACACAGGAAGCAAGACAAACTCAAGAAATGAGTACAATTTCCACGGCCATTGCTCCTTGCAGTAAGCGTCCCTGCTTGAAAGAACATCTCATGTGGCCCTTGGGACTCGCAAGGCAGGCTTTCCTCTACCTCTACTACGACCTCCACGGCCTCCGCAACACCCAAAAATCGCAGGGGACGTACGATCCTGAAATTCGTGCGTCCGGTTGTGACCGAGGCCTTAACTACGCCTGAATAACGCTTCGTTGCATCACAATACGTTGATGGTATAATTGGGCAAATGAGGAGATCACAACTGCAGTCATCCCAGGATGACAGCATAAATAAACACAAAATGACCATTTCAGTGACGAAGAAATTCATAAGCTACATCACTCCATTTTAAACAAGAAATTAAAACGTTAAAATATGTTTTAAAGTTAAAACTTTGCTGTTGCCTTGGATATATAGCAATAAAATCGTAAATGTATTCAGAATTCAAATATCATTATAATGTTGAAAAATTAAAACCTTTGTTTGACTGATCCCTGCTGTAAATGAGAAAAACGCGTTGGAAGCAATACGAACACGTTTAACGCTAACATTGCTTTCTTTTTTTTTTAATAATTTTAAAACAGTGTCAACAATTCCATGACGACCTTATCTACAGTTACACTATGTGATATCATTTAAATTACGCGAACCTACATCCTTCAGTTTAAAAAATACTAACGCCCAAATACAAATTATACGACTTACTCCACCTAGCTGTCAGGCGTAAATTTACGACTAAGTTTAGAACAACGTAATAACCACTATTCCAGTTTGGTACAACTGGCTTTTCTCAGCGGTAGCATTTTGCGCCCCATTTTCGCCGGTGCAACTGCTACGCCACATTTACGACCGGTGGGTGCAACCGGGTCCTATTTCTTTCGTTGCACTATTCCAATGCTGCAGTCTTACATGAAAACCAAACTTACCACGTCTTTTCCCTGCGTAACACTTGGGGGGTCAAATCGAACTGACATACACGGAACTGTCGCTCAGAAAAGTATGCTTTACTACGTGATCTTTCTCGCACACTTGCGTCAGCTGATTGGCATGGATTTGAGCCCACAATGCATTATAATCATACTGAAGCACTGATATAAATATATTTACACACACCCAAGCGCCATATCGAAAAAAATTGATTGGTGGAAAACGGTAACTTGGAATCGTTTCAACTGAACTTTGGTTCCAATTGTCTAACTGGACTAATGATTAATGAACGCATGTCATCGAACTCTTGGCACTATATTTTTTCACTTTACCATGGAGCATTTGGTTCGGCAGAATAATGGTAAATACCATAAAGCCAAGAGCGCATTCAGAACAGCGTATTAACAGATCCGCGGATCAAATATGGCGACCCGCTAAAAAACTTGCCGCTTAATTCCCGTTTAGACAATTATTAGATACCCCGCGGGGATTACGCAACAAGCATTCAAGTGGGTCGGCCATATTTGATCCGCGGATCTGTTAATACGCTGTTCTGAATGCGATCTAACACACGAGAAAACTGTAGTATTTAGAGAGCTCCATTCGTACACAGAAATGGGGGATGGGGGGGGGGGGGAGTTGAAACGAGAAAAAATCAAACAATTTTTCAATCCGCGCCCCTAAATATTTCAGTTAAATTGTCCTATTTCATATTATATTCCATTTTTTAATATTTGCCGAACGTGTGGTCGTGAAGTCACCAAAGGAGTGCATAAGATTTTTTTCCACGGTTTGGCATGTTTGTTGCAGGCACTCTCCCTAAAAAGCCTTTTTGCATTTTCTAATTCCGACGTTAAATACGATAAAACCCCTTCAAGATAGGTTTATCTGGGGCGTACCCAGTGTCACCTCTGGTAGCCATGTCAACTTGCAACCTCTGTATTATACACAGCACAGGGCTGCGATACAAAACACCGTACGTGCCCTTTTCTTGTGTTGTAAATTGAAAACGGGACCGTGCTCAGTGCAGGTCAGGAATACAGACATCATTCTGATACAACTCCTTGTTCTAAACGACGGGCCAGTTATTATTAAAAACTAAATGAAATTAAACACTGAATAAAACACTGCTTCCACGTCCAGGAACGCGTCGAGCAATGATTCACAAGTAGGAAATTTTGCTTTTTCCCCTCAGAGAAATTAATTTTGAGTGTAAATTTCGTGTCTTTATGAACATTTTACGCAAAATATGATTTGGGACCTAGTTTCGATATGGGTAGGTTTGTCGTCAAAGAATGTTATCGCAGATTATCGAACACTGCAACTATTCAAAGTCGAAATTGACGTCAAGTGTTATCAAGTCTTAGTGTCTTCCAGTATCAACCTATGAGAGGGCATCATTCTTATCAGCAGTCTTTTATTATGCACTGTCTGATGGCGTTTTATTTTTGTTTTACTACTTGTAAAATACGAAAAAAAAAACATAGCCGGTACATGTGCATTACTATATTGTCTTATATAATTTTTGGAATGATATCCCTTATAATATATATTTTTCGTTGGAAAGATAAAAAACAAAAGTTGAGTGTTTACCATTACCTTTGGGTTAATATATAATCAGTGTTTATTTAAATCCGTTACTCTATTTCAGAAAAGTTACTGTGAGAAATTTACATTTTGTATACTCGTACAGCCAAGAGAAAAAACGCACAGAGTTCCTGGCGTAAAATAATTCAGGAATGGGTTTCGATCGCTTTTTCGATACCTTTCCTCTGAATGTTCACATTCAGTGTCATCATATTCATCAACTAAAACACTAATTCCCGGCGATTATTCCAAGATATGTTCTGGATTTTGGTCGTCCTCACGGAATTGTTTTACCGCCATTCTAAGCCTCAGTGTAAACAAAAGTCACGATTTTTGAAGACTTTTTCACTAATGTTTTAAACATGCTATAAACAAGTTATAGATATCAATCACAAGGCTTGGTTTTGAAAAATCTAACTTTGCTCCATATGCCTGAAAATTAGCATATATAAACTTGGGGACCATTTCCAGACCCTTTCGTACTAACTGTGGATCAATCTATCTCCAAGGAGATTCTCACTAAATTGGAATTGACTTAAGCAGCTTAGATGCCTGTCATGCCTACTGAAGCTGCTAGGGGGTAATTAATTATAGTTTAGCAGCTTCTGTGGGCATGCGAGACATCTTAGCCGCTTAAGCTGAAGGAGTGAAAAAAACCCTTGGAGATGGATCGATCCTGCTAGATCGATCTAGGTATGGGAGCCCAGTTTTGGTCTCAGGCAAAAAGTTTGTTGAGTTCTATAGTCTGTCCTCTCACGGCAGATTCTCTACACGCCGTGGCTATCTGCATCACTTTTACTACATGATCTCCTGTGAGTTCTAATGACTCCTTTCCTGAAACCACAATGAGAAAAAGGGTTTATAAAGAATTAACATACTGTCAAATCTATAAAATCAATAAAAAATACTTCGTATAAAGATATGTTCAAAATGAAGTTGTCAATATATTGAGCTGCTACATTTCTCAATAGTCCTATGCTGGGTTCAGATATATGTAGATTTATATAAAACATTAAAATAAACAGTGATTATTCATTTCCTTTTGGCAGATAAAGTTACATGTAACCTAAGTAATTTAAGTGTTTGAAAATTCAGATTATAGCAAACAATATTTCACATGAATGACTTATAATCTATATGAGGAACAATGGAAGAATTAATAAAAGTTAGATGGAAAAAGTTATCTCTATCCTATTTCAAAAAAAAAAAAAAAAAAAAAAAAAATTGAGAACTATACCTTTGACCAATTCAACAACATGACATATATACTACTATTTATAAAAGTAAATGAAAAATAATTCAACAACAACAGCAATCAATACAATAATAACAATGTTATATCTTTTACCTGCAGCTGTTTTGATAAAATGCTTTAATTCCTCTTCATAAGCAGAGTCATATCTGTGTAAGTTGTACACTATAGGAGTTCCACTAACGCCCTCTGGTGTCCAGTGGTGAACGCTGCTTGGATGCTGGTTCTCTGATGTCAACATGCCGTTTGAGCCTAATACCTGAAATATAAACCAGGAAAACAAATTTTCAAAATTCTGAAAAAAATGAATAAAAAAAACATTAAATAGTAAAGATCAGTACAAATTTTAAAAATCAGTATATTTCCATTTGCTTTATTTTTACATTTGTATTTTTTTCCAATTGCTTCATTTTTACATTTTTTCTTTTATGAATCTTTGGGACACATTTTAAAAGTTTTGAAAAAAGATAAATAATACCACAACATGAGTGGACAACCCAACCAGCCAGCCACATAGTCCAGGAAATTGGTGAAAAATTGTGCATTTTTTACCTACAAGCATGAAATTTGGCACACTTATGGACAATAAAATTCTAAGCAAATTTGGATATATGGGCATGTCTGAAAATTCCAGAATGACCGTCAAATCCAATATGGCCACCAAAATACCTTTTCAAATTAAAACTTCAAGTACATAGTCTTCTAATGACTTAAAATATCATATAAAGGTTAGAAAACACCATGGTATGAATCCTTCAGGTGTATTAAATCCAAAATGGCCGCCAAAAGTAAAAAAAGCAGACCATTTATTCAAGATATCCATTTGAATGGGGAATTCATCAAGCACTTAAAACTACAAGCATAAAATTTGGCAGGTTTGTGGAAATGAAATTCTGAGCAAGTTTGGATGTATGGGCATATCCGAAAATTTAAAAATGGCCTTCAAATCCAAGATGGCCTCCAAAAATACAGCTTCTTATTTAAACTTCAAGTATATAGTCTTTTAAGGGCGTAAATATCATACAAAGGTTAAAAAACACCACAGTATGAATTCAGAATCAATATTTGCTTTTTTAGGTGTATAAAATCCAAAATGGCCGCCAATAGTAAAAAGCACTCTACTAATCCAAGATATCCAGCAGAGTGGTTAATTCATCAAAAACTACAAGCAATGCATTTGGTACAGTTGTAATACAGGATTCCAAGCACTTTTGGATGTATGAGCATGTCTAAAAATTTCAATATATGGCCCCCAAATCCAATATAGCCGACACAAATACCCGTTCAAATTAAAACTTCAAGTATATAAAATCCTATAATAACTTAAGATAACATTTTATGGTTAGACAAGACTATGGTATGCATGAAGTATCAATATTTGATTCTTTAAGTGAATAGAAATCCAAAATGGCCTCCAAAAATAAGAAAAACAGGCCACTCACAGCAGCAGTATGGTGAATTCATCATGCACTTAAAACTACAAGCATGAAAATTGACTCAATTGTACAGAACAGGATTCTTAGCAATTTGTTATATAGGGACATGTCTGAATATTCTAATATGGCCACTAATACCTTTTTAAAGTAAAAAAAGANACCCCCATCCCATCTTCACCACCCCCACCCCCCTGGCTGCTTACCTCAACCCTCTGATCGTGACCATACACAGCATGCCTGGACTGGTCAATCACCCCAATCACCCCAGAGGGAAACTTGAGCACAGCAACAATTGTGTCAAAGTCTCCATGTTGCATGAATACGGGGTCGTGTGTGTGTACAGTACACGAGACGCTGATAGGGTGTTCTCCCAGCAGCCAGCACATCACATCTATGTCATGGACAGTACTGTCCAGGAAGTAGCCACCTGGTAAACACAGTACAACTCACAATGAGCACATTCAAACAAAATTGTATTAAGTTTGGAATTTGATTCTTTGTTGAGGATTGCAGTCCATGCAAAAAAAAAAAAAAAAAAAAAGATTTATTACAGAGAAAAGGACTGCATTTAGATTCCTAAAAACACCACTTATACAAGAACAAAAAGTCACATAAATATCTTTATGAAAATAAGAACCATATTGATTTTAAAAATGCTACAATTTCTGTATATATTAAATGCTATTCAATCTTTTTTTTAAGCGGTATTTGAATTCTATATCCTAACTAAATTATCATACAGCAAGTGGCAGAAATGGCATATGTCCATCAGCAATGGCAATGATAGATAGTGATGCCAACATGACAGTATTCAAAAGGCAAAGATGTACGTATATCTGTCTATTGTCTTATTTTAGTACAACAGAATAAAATCTGTAAACAATGGAAATCTGTCCTAAAAATATGCAGAATACCCATGCAAACATGCATAGAATAGGTACGGAACTTTGGAAAGGGGAACCGTACCATGTGCTGCAGAATATGCTGCTGCAGACGCCATGTCTGGGCAGGCATCTCTAGAGCATGTCTTGGCCATCATAGGCTTGCCTATCTCACCACTGAGAAGTCTTCTTTGGAGGTGTCGAAGCTGGGGATCAAACCTCCTAGAATGAGAATGTTAATTTAATATAAGTGAATGGTACTAATGGGTACCACAAAACTTTTTTATATACACCTGTACTAGCTACAGGGTAGTATGAAACACAATTTATTCATGTTAGTTAATAAGGTAAATTCTTGTGTGTAATACTTAGTCTGGTAGTACAATTTTAATATAAAAATGTGGATTGTAACTCAAGATTTGGTTTTCATTAATTGGGATTTTGAGTTAATATATTGACTTGATATAATTTTTTTTGTTACTCATTATCGTTCAGTCATGACAATCAGCTTTTTAGCAGGCTTAAAAATGAATGAACAAAATAGGTAAAAATTGGCATTATTTTATCTTTATATTTTCTATTTTTATGCAGTGAATATTCAATGAATACTATCCATTCCTTTGTTATAAATTGTAATAAATTTAATATGCCTTTCTACATCATGCTCCCTAGTTCAGCAGAATGAGGGGGTGGGGGCAGGAGGAAGGAAAGTGTATTACAGTTTGTAATATATATATATATATATATATGAATCAAGGGTTTTCCCAGCAAACCATCCAGCTGTCATTTGAATGGCCGCCAGCATCATTGGTCGGCCTATATTTTTAAAGACGGTTGGAAGGCTTATGGATTTGTTGGAAATACATATATGATAGCTTAAGCCTGCAGTGTTAGAAATTAATAATTGAATGTCTGCCTGGGGCTGGCAACTTTCAGAACGGGCTGAGAAGTTTTCCCACCTGGCAGACATTTGAGCCAGCTACTTTTCAAGCTGGCTGAACTTTTGGTCCAGCAACTAATTTTCCTAAGAGAATTACAGGTGGTAATTGTGGATGGCCTGTACCCCCAATCCTGGGAAAAACCCTGACGTGAATGCAACTAAAACATACCTATTAAACCCACACTGGAGAGGTTTTCCAGCTTGTTCCGCCTCGTCATAAAGCCGTCGGACAACTTTCCAGCTAACATCTATTGGTTTCTCACAAAACACAGCTTTGCCTGAAACAAAATGGAATTTGTATGTTTGTAGTGGAATTCCCATCAATGAACAGTTCCTAAGGCCTATATGGGTTAAACCTTGGCCACCTTGGCCTCAGGTTTCACATGGGGGCCATTGATAAAGTTCAAAGATCTAAAAAAAAACTACAAACCCACTTAGTACATGGACAACCTAAAACAGGGATGAGACCATTCCTCACTGAAAAAGGAGGAAAATTGGGCAGGGGTCCAGGGTACACTATTTACAAGAATGACCCAAATGACACTGAAAAAGTCAAAAAAGTCTCACCAGGGCTAAAAGGGACAACCTGATTTTTTTTTGGAGGGGGGGGGGGGGCAGGTTGTACCCATGGCCAGGCCATAAGGCCCCATTCAATAGTCTACCTCTTTATCGCAGTTCACCTCTGGGTTATTTACTAGTGTGTCGATTCCTTCAGCTGGCCTAATGATGGAAATATCAGATTACTATAGACTGGCTGATGACATCATGCAAACTGGTTCAGGTCTGGTTTAGGTACATGTAGTATCTTTGCATCCATAATGTGAGGCTGCATGGATACATTAGATGACACCACCCATACACAAAACCAAAGACATGCAGCCCCGTAGCCAAGGGGAAGGGGGTTCAGGGGGTTTGAAAGAACTGCCCTTTTTGCTGCAAAAAGGTTCCCTCTGGATAAAATCTTATCTAGGTACTATAAGGTTTCATGGTAAAAGGTACATTTTTCAGAAAAAGACCCCCCCCTTTATGAAATAGCTGGCTAGAGATCTGAGGATCATCTGTTGTGCATGCAAGCACCATAAGACAATCTATGAAGAGCAAGATATGAGATACTCCCATGTCTAGTGAGAATTCAATTTGAATGGATTTTCATGTAGGAGGAACTAATTGTTTCTCCACTTACATGTAAACCATCAATCAGAAATCCCAACAGTCACCAAGAGTAATGTTCAAGAACAACAGCCCATGAAAAGAGCACTCATGTCTTCAACTGATAACACTGGTTTGTTGTTTTTTTCACATTACGGAAGCACATAATAGGATTATACGCACAAGTTGTAGTAATTGATTTGAAAAAATAAGTCACATTTACTTCAACGGCATGACTTCAGTAACTGTTACAGTGTTGCTTGCACTTTGAGGCATGAATGACATATGAAGTACAAAAATGTAACATCATAATGCCATACATCATTTGAACAGACAGTTTAGCAAATAGAATTTCAAAAGGAAAAAAATTAATGAGTTCTTCTGAGGTTTGGCCTATTCCCCAGTATCAAAAGACAACCACAATATTACCGGCAATCATTCAGGGTGAAGTGTGTAGAAAATCTATATAGTAATAGCAGATCTGACGAAAATTTCTCCTTTTCACGTTTTTCTCCCAAACTACAGCAATCTGTTGACAACTGACAGGTGTTAGCAATACACATGTACCTTAGGACAGTGGGAAGATAGTGGCCATAGTTTAACTTTGATAATAACTGTTCAAAAGTATATTTTGAAGGCATTTTGTAGCCTTCGGCAATATGCGTAAAACTTCAGCATGTGTGGAAGGTATCATATATTGTCAATAACACTACATTGGATAGTAGGATTTGCTGGCCCAGTGGTAACGTCCTTGGCTGCCAAACAGGGCGGAGTGGGTTCAATTCCCACTCAGTCCCATTTTTATTTCTTTTACACAGAATATAGCATATAAATATATGATATAAATCATGTATACTAATATCTTATCATGGTTCAATGACTGATGTGATGGGTATCAGCTAGTATTATTGAAAGCCCACATTTGAGATAATGTGTTTAATGTAAAATGCTCACCTGCTTTTAAAGACTTCTGTATTATTTCTTCGTGAGTTGCTGCTGGAGTTGCCACCACAACAGCACTCACTCTGAAAGTGAAATCATGAATTTAAAAGGCATGTTGGATAAATTGAAAGTGCCATTATTTCCATCTTCTAGGTTAAAGGATAGGAGGCAATTCAGAACAGATATACTCTGCAGACTAACTGATCTGCTGACCAAATATATGGCCAACCGAACTTCAAAGCAGCATCGCTTAATCCTTTGATGGTCTCCCTGCCTCCTCATGCGTCTTTAAACAGATTAAATCTCAGCTCTGAGGTTTAATTGCAAGGACCCTGCAGCGACAGCTGCAGGAGGCCATCATAGAATTAGTCAGTGCTGCTTTTATGTGAGTCGGCCATATTTAGTCCGCAGATCTGTTAGTCCTTGGAACAACTTGTTTCTGAATGGCCTCTAACTTACAAGCAGCCAGCATACACTATCTGTTATCATATTTCTGGAAACGGCTTGGGTGTGCTAATAATTTGTGTTTTGACTCTGAAGCTCAGAAGGAACATTTTACACCAGTGATATTCAATCTGATTGCTTTTCACTAAGAGAATTTTTTGTTCTTTTAGTTAAAGGGACAAAGCATAAGATTTCAAACACACATTAAGAACATGCGCAAAACTCTACTTGTCGAACTGAGGACAAATGATTTTTTTTAGCTTTTCTTAATAGATAAATGCAATGAATTAATATCACAAAAATATCATTTCCCAATGAACCTTTCCTGTTAACCACCTTGACACAGTTTTGAACTACATGCAACCCAAAACTTAATATGAAAGTTGATCTTGAAGCAGGCCCATAGCCAGAGGGGGCTCAGAGGATTCGAAAGAACCCCACCCCCTTTTTGCTGGGAAAAGACCCCTCTGGGTAAAATTTTATGTAGGTACACGAAGGATTTATGGTAAAAGGTCCACTTTTTCAGAAAAAGAACCCCCTTTTAAAATTTCTGGCTACAGGCCAGTGAATTAAGGTGATTGCCAAATCTGAAAAACCCCTGCTTAAGGACTTTTTATTATTTCCAGATTATCACAGAGTTATGGAGATAGCCAGGAAAGGAAAATCAAAGGCTGGATAGTTAGAGAAAAATACTGTTTACCCCAGGAAAATCCATGATGTTTAAGTTTTTTTGCTGAGAAATCGTACACTGGGCACATTGAACTTTTGATTTAAAATCATCCAAGTTGTCAATGATATGGCAATATTATAGAGAGGAGAATGGTTTTTAAAAATTTCACTAACGCCTCTAAAAGGATGATTGGGAAGGAAAGTAGGATGAAATGAATGAGGAGATAAAAAAGAAAAGAGAATACGGAATAGAACAATGGACATGAATTGTCAGGAGAAATTGAAGGTATAACAGTACGTGGAAAGACAGGGAATGAAGGTAAGAAGGATGGAAACCCTAGTTATTACCTTTTATCTGCATACACCTGTTCACTGTGCTCCGGGCTTACAACCCTCGCTTTACTTCTGTGACTTTTTGCCAAGCTTTCTCCTCGCTGTGTGTCTTCTTCAACCAACCACAAAACTGTAAAAATACAACACAATATTACCATGGGTATTGAAGCATCCATTATTAACCTCTAAGATATCATCTCCGCTTCTTTTTTTGTTGGTCATTTTCTTCATCACGTTAAATATGTTCTTGCACATATACACCTAAATGAGCTTTAAATACAACACTGGCAAAATATATCTGAGAATATGCTCAATGAATGGTTAAAAACTGGAAGTGAGAAAATATGTGCCAATCCAATTACTCAATAAAGCAATAGCAGTGTCACGCTCAACTTCAATTTACTTTTCATATTACACTGTTCTCTCTCTCTTTTTTTGGCATGACCTTGTTATATCTTTCTTATTGAATTCTGAATTCATACAGTGGCAGCAACGTACTGCCTCATTTTGAATGTCTGAAAACATATACCTTTTCAAAGAGTTTTAGGAATAGAATATATTGATTGTGAACTTTTTTTCATCAAACCAGCAAATTAAGATAAGAACACTTGATTTCAAGTGTCTATAAGCTAAATAAAATGGAAAGATTATTGAATATTCACAACAGTGACTAAATTATTTCTGCAGTGAACTTCACTGCATGCAATTGCAAAATATGATGGTTTATTTAAAAAAAAAAAAAAAAACTCAGACATTTCTGAAATTGAGATGATTATCCATCAATCTTCATTAGTATATGCTGCAGGCTTGTACCACTTGCTGATCTAGTATCT